TGTGTCTGTGTCTGTGTCTGTGTCTGTGTCTGTGTCTGTGTCTGCGTCTGCGTCTGTGTCTGCGGCTGCGTCTGCGTCTGTGTCTGTGTCTGTGTCTGTGTCTGTGTCTGTGTCTGTGTCTGTGTCTGTGTCTGTGTCTGTGTCTGTGTCTGTGTCTGTGTCTGGGTCTGTGTCTGTGTCTGTGTCTGTGTCTGTGTCTGTGTCTGTGTCTGTGTCTGTGTCTGTGTCTGTGTCTGTGTCTTTGTCTGTGTCTGTGTCTGTGTCTGTGTCTGTGTCTGTGTCTGTGTCTGTGTCTGTGTCTGTGTCTGTGTCTGTGTCTGTGTCTGTGTCTGTGTCTGTGGCTGTGGCTGTGTCTGTGTCTGTGTCTGTGTCTGTGTCTGTGTCTGTGTCTGTGTCTGTGTCTGTGTCTGTGTCTGTGTCTGTGTCTGTGTCTGTGTCTGTGTCTGTGTCTGTGTCTGTGTCTGTGTGTGTGTGTGTGTGCAGGCCCCTGGGTGCCCGAATACATCCATATCCACCGCCTCTCTGGGTCGTCGAAAACCGATCTTCCAGACGGTGGTTCTGTATCAATTCCCCCGTCGGATAATGGGTAAAAACCATGAAGTAGGAAGGCGGATAAAGTAGATTGGGTTCGGGCCAAAACAAGTCAGAACGTCTCGATTGTTGAGATAGGAGGGCGCTTGAAGTAGATTGGGATCTGGAAACCCGAAAGGGGGGGTGGGGCAAAGGTGGAGTTGGAAGGGAAATCGCTCCGCACGGCCCCTGGAGGAAGGAAACGCGTGAAACGGGAGCATCCAGCTGGGCCCGTTGCCCAGCCCCACCTTGGGCCAAACCCTCCCTCTACGAACCCCCGAGAAAATACCAACTTTCAACGACCCGCGCGTCCTCGGGGGGCGGGCGGGGGACGTGGACGTGTAGGACCCCCCCGCGGGCCCGCACGGGTCCATACTGTATGTCCACCGCCTGCCGAGGCCCCCGAAGCTCCATGCCCCAGGCGGTTGTTACGGATACACCCCCGCCTCGGCGGCGCCGGGGTGAGAGGCGCAGCCAGCGGGAGGCGGTCCCAGGCATGATCGTGTCGTGGAAAACTCAGGGCGGAAGGCTCTTGGCAATTCTCGGCCTCGGGGGGCCCTCGCTGGGCCTCGGGGCCGTCAAAAAACGACTCGGGATGAGAAACCGGCCCCGGGGAAAGAGTCAGGACTTCCACGGACCCCGTCTTGAAGAAACCAGGACGTCGCATGTCTGGATCGGGGCAGGGGGCCGGGGCAGGGGGCCGCAGGAGGGGAGCAGAGGGGGAGGGGCCAGACACAAGCCTGGGTCGGCGTCTTTTGCGGGCAAAACTCGTGTCCACATCCCACTGCAGCTTGGAGTCTCGGGCTCCCTCCCCCAGAAACAGGAAGAGCACTGGATACTGGACACGAATACGAATGTGACCCCTAGAGGCTTTTGGACCCCCGAAGTGGGTACGGAACCCACTCGGGCGTCCAAGTCCCGATGCATCGCCGCTGCATCGGCGATGCGGCGAAGTCCTCCGACCCCGCCCGCTCCGACCCCGTCCAGGAGGCCTCTGACGCCGGCGATCGGGTCGGGCGAAAGGGGGAGATAGCAAAGGGGTGGTCTGAGATTCAGCTCACGTAGCTGATCTTCCCGGCGCCTCCCGGCGCCGGAGGCGGCCATGCATCGAGGAAGGGGCCCCTCGGCGGGGCCGAAACCAGCTGCATGCAGCAGATTTCGTAACCCCACCTTTCCCCATCCCCCCCCCCTTCGTCCGGCCCGAGGCGGGGGCCCGAGGCCTCCCCCGCCCCCGGGGGGGGGGGGGGGCGGGGGCGCCCCGCGCGCCGGGCGCCTCGCGCTCCTCCTGCTCCTTCTTCTGCCGGGCCTCCGTGCCGCGCGCGGAGAGACGCGGGCCGCTCTCTCGCGCCCCCCCGCCGCCCCGCCGCCCCGCCTCCTCCTCCTCCTCACCCTCCTCCACCTCCTTCCCCCCTCCGATTCCTTCTTCCTCGTCGCCTCCGTCTCATCTCCTCCTCCGCCTCCTCCTCCCCCTCCTCCTCCTCCTCCTCCTCCTCCTCCTCCTCCTCCGCCTTGGCTGCCTGTAGGTGCCCCACGATGCATGTTTTGCACCGCGCCTCCTCGCGATGCAAACTGCCGGAGAAAGCTGGCAATTTCGATAGCGTGCGATGCAAACGCTGGTGTTGCCGCCCCCCCCCGCCTTGATTGACAATCAAAAAGACCCCTGACCCTTTGGGAAGGGACCTGACTTAGGGGTGCCAGCACCAGTAGAGAGAGGAGGTCTTTTCCGCAGAGGCATCGGACCAAACGGCCCAGGCCTATGATCCCTAATGCAAAGACGGGGACCTCTCTGAAGCTACGTCTTCACCGGGTTATGAGAGTCAGGGGTTCTTTATCCTCGATGAACTCCCAGAGGACGCAGGAGGCGTCCCGGGCTTGCACCGCGGGCGCCCTGCCACTCCCTTCGAGCAGGGATCGACTGCAAAAGTTGATG